CTGTCACTATTAGCCAATCAGATCCTGTGGCCTGTCACTATTAGCCAATCAGATCCTGTGTCCTGTCACTATTAGCCAATCAAATCCTGTGTCCTGTGACTATAGCCAATCAGATCCTGTGTCCTGTGACTATAGCCAATCAGATCCTGTGTCCTGTGACTATAGCCAATCAGATCCTGTGTCCTGTGACTATTAGCCAATCAGATCCTGTGTCCTGTGACTATTAGCCAATCAGATCCTGTGTCCTGTCACTATTAGCCAATCAGGTCCTGTGTCCTGTGACTATAGCCAATCAGATCCTGTGTCCTGTGACTATAGCCAATCAGATCCTGTGTCCTGTGACTATAGCCAATCAAGTTAATGTTCTTCCTCTCTTCCTACTCTAGCAGAGGCACCAGAGACCCACAACGCTGACGACGACAGCAGCGAGTCAGACGGAGACGAGCCCAACCTCGGCACAGAGTCAAAACCATCCCCTCGCCCCAACGCCACAGCCGGGGGAGGATCAGGCAGCCAACCAGGCAGCACCGTCCACAGACCGAAAGGTGAGTTTACCAGCCAGTCAGTCAGTAAGCCAGCCAGTCAGTCAGTAAGCCAGCCAGTCAGTCAGTAAGCCAGTCAGTCAGTAAGCCAGTCAGTCAGTAAGCCAGTCAGTAAGCCAGTCAGTCAGTAAGCCAGTCAGTAAGCCAGTCAGTCAGTAAGCCAGTCAGTCAGTAAGCCAGTCAGTAAGCCAGTCAGTCAGTAAGCCAGTCAGTCAGTAAGCCAGTCAGTAAGTCAGTCAGTCAGTCAGTCAGTCAGTAAGCCAGTCAGTAAGCCAGTCAGTCAGTAAGCCAGTCAGTAAGTCAGTCAGTCAGTAAGTCAGTCAGTCAGTCAGTCAGTCAGTCAGTAAGCCAGTAAGTCAGTCAGTCAGTCAGTCAGTCAGTAAGTCAGTCAGCCAGTCAGTAAGTCAGTCAGTCAGTCAGTCAGTCAGTCAGTAAGCCAGTCAGTAAGCCAGTCAGTCAGTAAGCCAGTCAGTCAGTAAGCCAGTCAGTAAGTCAGTCAGTCAGTCAGTCAGTCAGTCAGTAAGCCAGTCAGTCAGTAAGCCAGTGAGTAAGCCAGTCAGTCAGTAAGCCAGTCAGTAAGCCAGTCAGTAAGCCAGTCAGTCAGTAAGTCAGTCAGTCAGTCAGTCAGTCAGTCAGTCAGTCAGTCAGTAAGCCAGTCAGTCAGTAAGCCAGTCAGTAAGCCAGTCAGTCAGTAAGCCAGTCAGTCAGTAAGCCAGTCAGTAAGTCAGTCAGTCAGTAAGCCAGTCAGTCAGTAAGCCAGTCAGTCAGTAAGTCAGTCAGTCAGTCAGCCAGTCAGTCAGTAAGCCAGTCAGTCAGTCAGTCAGTAAGCCAGTCAGTAAGTCAGTCAGTCAGTAAGCCAGTCAGTCAGTCAGTCAGTAAGCCAGTCAGTAAGCCAGTCAGTCAGTAAGCCAGTCAGTCAGTAAGCCAGTCAGTAAGTCAGTCAGTCAGTAAGCCAGTCAGCCAGTCAGTCAGTAAGCCAGTCAGTCAGTAAGCCAGTCAGTCAGTAAGCCAGTCAGTAAGTCAGTCAGTCAGTAAGCCAGTCAGCCAGTCAGTCAGTAAGCCAGTCAGTCAGTCAGTCAGTAAGCCAGTCAGTAAGTCAGTCAGTCAGTCAGTCAGTCAGTAAGCCAGTCAGTAAGCCAGTCAGTCAGTAAGCCAGTCAGTCAGTAAGCCAGTCAGTAAGCCAGTCAGTAAGCCAGTCAGTCAGTCAGTCAGTCAGTCAGTCAGTCAGTAAGCCAGTCAGTAAGCCAGTCAGTCAGTCAGTCAGTAAGCCAGCCAGTCAGTCAGTAAGCCAGTCAGTCAGTCAGTCAGTCAGTAAGCCAGTCAGTAAGCCAGTCAGTAAGCCAGTCAGTAAGCCAGTCAGTCAGTCAGTCAGTAAGCCAGTCAGCCATTCATTAAGCCAGTCAGCCAGTCAGTAAGCCAGTCTGTAAGCCAGTCAGTCAGTCAGTCAGTCTGTAAGCCAGTCAGTAAGCCAGTCAGTAAGCCAGTCAGTCAGTATCTGTATTGCCCCAATTGTTCTTAATTGACTTACCTGTACAGTGGGGAAAAAAAGTATTTAGTCAGCCACCAATTGTGCAAGTTCTCCCACTTAAAAAGATGAGAGAGGCCTGTAATTTTCATCATAGGTACACATCAACTATGACAGACAAAATGAGAAAAAAAAATCCAGAAAATCACATTGTACGATTTTTAATGAATTTATTGGCATATGATGGTGGAAAATAAGTATTTGGTCAATAACAAAAGTTTCTCAATACTTTGTTATATACCCTTTGTTGGCAATGACACAGGTCAAACATTTTCTGTAAGTCTTCACAAGGTTTTCACACACTGTTGCTGGTATTTTGGCCCATTCCTCCATGCAGATCTCCTCTAGAGCAGTGATGTTTTGGGGGCTGTCGCTGGGCAACACAGACTTTCAACTCCCTCCAAAGATTTTCTATGGGGTTGAGATCTGGAGACTGGCTAGGCCACTCCAGGACCTTGAAATGCTTCTTACGAAGCCACTCCTTCGTTACCCGGGCGGTGTGTTTGGGATCATTGTCATGCTGAAAGACCCAGCCACGTTTCATCATCAATGCCCTTGCTGATGGAAGGAGGGTTTCACTCAAAATCTCACGATACATGGCCCCATTCATTCTTTCCTTTACATGGATCAGTCGTCCTGGTCCCTTTGCAGAAAAACAGCCCCAAAGCATGATGTTTCCAACCCCATGCTTCACAGTAGGTATGGTGTTCTTTGGATGCAACTCAGCATTCTTTGTCCTCCAAACATGACGAGTTGAGTTTTTACCAAAAAGTTATATTTTGGTTTCATCTGACCATATGACATTCTCCCAATCCTCTTCTGGATCATCCAAATGCACTTCAGACGGGCCTGGACATGTACTGGCTTAAGCAGGGGGACACATCTCGCACTGCAGGATTTGAGTCCCTGGCGGCGTAGTGTGTTACTGATGGTTGGCTTTGTTACTTTGGTCCCAGCTCTCAGCAGGTCATTCACTAGGTCCCCCCGTGTGGTTCTGGGATTTTTGCTCACCGTTCTTGTGATCATTTTGACCCCACGGGGTGAGATCTTGCGTGGAGCCCCAGATCGAGGGAGATTATCAGTGGTCTTGTATGTCTTCCATTTCCTAATAATTGCTCCCACAGTTGATTTCTTCAAACCAAGCTGCTTACCTATTGCAGATTCCGTCTTCCCAGCCTGGTGCAGGTCTACAATTTTGTTTTTGGTGTCCTTTGACAGCTCTTTGGTCTTGGCCATTGTGAAGTTTGGAGTGTGACTGTTTGAGGTTGTGGACAGGTGTCTTTTATACTGATAACAAGTTCAAACAGGTGCCATTAATACAGGTAACGAGTGGAGGACAGAGGAGCCTCTTAAAGAAGTTGTTACAGGTCTGTGAGAGCCAGAAATCTTGCTTGTTTGTAGGTGACCAAATACTTATTTTCCACCATAATTTGCAAATAAATTCATTAAAAATCCTACAATGGGATTTTCTGGAATTTTTTTTCTCAATTTGTCTGTCATAGTTGACGTGTACCTATGATGAAAATTACAGGCCTCTCTCATCTTTTTAAGTGGGAGAACTTGCACAATTGGTGGCTGACTAAATACTTTTTTTCCCCACTGTATATGATACAGGCTCAATAAAATCAATAAAAAGAGGTGGAGTGTGTGACAATGTTTACCATTTGAAGACATCAATTGAATAGTTCCCCAGTCAGCATCTCAGCCTGCAACGGTGTGGACCTGTCATCAGCAGCACCTCATATGGATCCACCAGCTGGCGCTCTCTTTCTTGGTCCTTTGAGCCAGGTGGTCATGTTGAAGAGCGCGACACTGGTTTTTATATACACATTGTAATCTCTTTCTGCAGTTCCTGGTGGGCCGGGGACCACCTGGTTAGCAGACAGCGGGTCAGACGACTCCCGCCGCTGGTCAGACAACCTCAGCCTGGACGAGAAGGACGGCTTTGTGTTCGTCAACTACTCCGAGGGACAGACGGGAAAGACACAGACACCCCCCAAACCAGGGGTCCACCCTCCCCCCCAGCCTCACCCTCCCCACCCCATAGCAGGCCATGGGGGGGTCCCTCAGCCCTTACACCCCACCACCATGGAGGCGAGGCCCTATAACCAGCTCAGAGCAGGTACAGACCAGACCACAGCACTACAGCTCACTATACACAACAACAGCATTATGTGTGTTATGCAATGCAGTGTGGATGTTTATGTTCCTGGCTGGCTGGAGTGGGTCCTGTCTGGCTGGAGTGTGTCCTGTCTGGCTGGTGTGTGTCCTGTCTGGCTGGAGTGTGTCCTGTCTGGCTGGAGTGTGTCCTGTCTGGCTGGAGTGTGTCCTGTCTGGCTGGAGTGTGTCCTGTCTGGATGGAGTGTGTCCTGTCTGGCTGGAGTGTGTCCTGTCTGGCTGGAGTGTGTCCTGTCTGGCTGGAGTGTGTCCTGTCTGGCTGGTGTGTGTCCTGTCTGGCTGGAGTGTATCCTGTCTGGCTGGAGTGTGTCCTGTCTGGATGGAGTGTGTCCTGTCTGGATGGAGTGTGTCCTGTCTGGCTGGAGTGTGTCCTGTCTGGGTGGAGTGTGTCCTGTCTGGCTGGAGTGTGTCCTGTCTGGCTAGAGTGTGTCCTGTCTGGCTGGTGTGTGTCCTGTCTGGCTGGAGTGTGTCCTGTCTGGCTGGTGTGTGTGTCCTGTCTGGCTGGAGTGTGTCCTGTCTGGCTGGTGTGTGTCCTGTCTGGCTGGAGTGTGTCCTGTCTGGCTGGAGTGTGTCCTGTCTGGCTGGAGTGTGTCCTGTCTGGCTGGTGCATTGTTCAAGCGTTTGTGTGTGTGTGTGTGTGTGTGTGTGTGTGTGTGTGTGTGTGTGTGTGTGTGTGTGTGTGTGTGTGTGTGTGTGTGTGTGTGTGTGTGTGTGTGTGTGTGTGTGTGTGTGTGTGTGTGTGTGTGTGTGTAGGCTACAGATGGGAACGTCAGCTGGTGTTCCGGAGCAAACTGACCATGCACACGGCATTCAACCGGAAGGACAACGCTCAGCCAGCCGAGATCACATCCCTCGCCATCTCCAAGTAGGTGGACTGTGTGTGTTTGAGACCTCAACATGGAGCTTGTCTTGAGAAAGGTGCCTGACAGTAATTAAAAAGGAGGATGGAGGGATCGGGAATTTGAAGGACCATAAATGTAACTTTAGGTGTTGGTTATAGATAGCAATCACTCATCCTCCCCCTCCTCCACCCCTTCCTCCCCCAGGGACCACAGTAAGATCCTGGTGGGTGACGGTCGTGGCAGGGTGTTCAGCTGGTCAGTGAGTGACCAGCCTGGTCGTTCTGCTGCTGACCACTGGGTGAAGGACGAAGTGGTGGACTGCTGTTCGGGATGTACCGTGCGCTTCTCCCTCGCGGAGAGACGCCACCACTGCAGAAACTGTGGTCAGCTCTTCTGTCAGAAGTACGTCCTGGCCTGCATGTTAGGGTTGAAGGTGTACCAATGGAGAATCAACAGAATAATAACAACAATTTTAAAACATTGAATCTTCAACCGTCAGATGCGTTGTACCGTCATCATCATCATCAGCCTTTAGCTTGCAGCGTCAGTCACTATTATGGCCTTTCACAGAAAAACGCAGAATGGTTAATGCTGAATGAATATGAAATGGTTAACCCAAAATTAACACGCCGTAATAGAACAAATTTTAATATTATAAAGTCCCTAAAAATAATCCCAAGGACCTTTACCGGTGCATTATGCCTGTCTCTCTCTCTCTCCATCTCTTCTCTCTATCCCAGGTGTAGTCGTTTCCAGTCTGAGATCAAGCGTCTGAAGATCTCGTCCCCGGTGAGGGTCTGTCAGAACTGTTACTGCAACCTGCAGCACGAACGCGGCACTGAGGACGGATGCAGAAACTAACCAAGGTCCCTGGTCCCACATCACTACAGCAGGGAGCCTGTGTTGTACCCCCCCCCCCCCCCCCCCCACTCACCCCTGCCTCTCTAAAATACTACCCCACCCATCTCTTACACCCACCCTACACACACACACACACACACACACACGTGTCCAGTAATCACAGGTAACACACTGAATGACGTAGGTTAAAAGGGATCACCGATTGAAGTGGCGATTGTTTCCGTAACTGTGGTGGTTGGTTCAGTATGACGAAGACGAGTGGGTAGGAAAAAGCCTATGAAATAGAGAGATAGAGAAATGTGAGGAGGGTTCATTAACAATCTCATTTCTGCTTTCTTTCCCAGTCCCAAAATAAACCTCTGGCATCACGCCATCCTCCGTGTATCACCTAGTAATTTAGATCTTAGAGACGACACTAAAGGGTGGGAAGCCACCTTCCGCTCAAAACCTGAGATAAAACTTGTTTATATTGTAAATACTTACATTGGCCTTTTTAACTAGAGCAGGAAAAAACTAAGAAAAAACTAGTTATAATGGTTGTTGGACAGAAAACAGTCATTGCCTGCGACTAATCACTCTTGACTCCAAAACGATTGTGTAACGTGTGAATAATGTCACTAGTCACGGAAGCCCAGAGGGAAATATAACTGCTGCGTCCCATTTCCCTTTATATAGTGCACTACTTTTGACCAGAGCCCTTCCCACAGGGAATATGGTGCCATTTGGGACACAGTCAATGATAATGATGGGGGACTATGAATGTTGTTATAATAATAATAATAATAATAATAATAATAATAATAATAATAATAAATGTTTGGTGTGGGTTGACATTACTAGCATGTCTAGTTATGCAATTTACTTCTTAATTTGTTTTAATTTTATGTGATTTGATTTGTGAGTGGCCCACAGGATCAAGACATTGCCATCAAAGTGAGATTGTGTATTTATTTTTGCGAAATTGCTTTGATATCTCCATGTGCGTAATGCCTCTGAAGTATGTATGAACTAGCGTGTCTTCCGTTTGTCACAGTTTAGGTCACAGAATATTACGTTTGTTGCTGCTTGTCAAGACTGGAGAAAAGACTGGAGAAATGCTCATTTCAGTTTCTAGACATTCCTTGCTTTTTACTTGCTACCTCAGCTGATGCTGTGAGAGATGCTGTGAGAGATGCTGTGAGAGATGCAGATGTTAGTAGTGTGTTTCCTGGAGGGAAATAATCCTAGGTTTATCATCTGAAATAGAATTATGAATATAGTATATCAAGTGGGCTCCATAATTATTGGCACTCTTTATAAAGATGAGCAAAAGATTGTATAAAATAAATAATTCAAATTCTGAACTATATTTTATGCAACAACAAAAAAAAGGGAAATTATATTATTTTATATTAATACAATTGCTCAGAGAAAGAGATTTTGTTAAATACGTTTATTTTTTCTCACCAAGGTGGGCGTCGGAATTGACACCCCTAAAGATTCTTATAAATAAAGTCAAAGGTTTAGTTTTTGGTCCCATATTCCTAGCACGCAATGACTATATCAAGCTTGTGACTCTACAAACTTGTTGGATGCATTTGCAGTTCATTTTGGTTGTGTTTCAGATTATTTTGTGACCAAAATAAATTAATATTAAATAATGTGTTGTGTCATTTTGGAGTCACTTTTATTGGAAATAAGAATACGATATGTTTCTAAACACTTAAACATTCATGTGGATGCTACTACGATTACGGATAATCCTGAATGAAATGTGAATAATAATGATGAGTGAGAAAGTTACAGAGGGTCAAAGATCATACCCAAAGACCTCCCTTGTAATTGGTAAAGGTGAGAGGTTAGCTTGGGGCTATGACCTTTGACCCTCTTTCATTATTCACGATTAATTCAGGACTATCCGTAACCATGGTAGCATCCACATTAATGTTGTAAGTGTTTAGAAACATATTAATATTCTTATTTCCAATAAAACTCAAAGAAATGATAAAATACAGTATTTGCCATTCATTTCTGTTGTTGACTCCAATGCTTCCCACAGTTGTGTCAAGTTGGCTGGATGTCCTTTTGGGTGGTGGACCATTCTTGATACACACGGGAAACTGTTGAGTGTGAAAAACCCAGCAGCGTTGCAGTTCTTGACACAAACCAGTGCGCCTGGCAACTACTACCATACCCCGTTCAAAGGAATTTAATTATTTTGTCTTACCCATTCACCCTCTGAATGGCACACGTACACAATCCATGTCTCAATTGTCTCAAGGCTTAAAAATCCTTCTTTAACCTGTCTCCTCCCCTTCATCTACACTGATTGAAGTGGATTTAACAAATGACATCAATAAGGGATCAGAGCTTTCACCTGGATTAAACTGGTCAGTCTATGTCATGGAATGAGCAGGTGTTCTTAATGTTTTGTCCACTCAGACCCAGTTAACCAGCGAGACCTATCTAGTAGCAGCAGTAGAAACCCTTCCTTCATTTTTATCACATCATTATATTTTTGTAGTATTATTACAAACTATCCTTCTCCATGTCTCTTCAGTACCTGTAAGCACCTTCTAGTTCATTTCACAGTGTTGTTCCTTATGAAGAGAATATGTGGCTTGTTTGTCTGTTAGATGCCGATTTGATGTAGAGTTTGTAAATAATCTATTGTGACGATTGATGAGCGTCCTTTTTCCCCCTATCTCAAACTGGCGGCCCGCGGGCCAAATGTGGCTCACAAGCCGACTTTAATGCGGTCTCCGGTTGTGTTAATGAATGTGTCTCTGAAGTCGCGGATCTCTAGGAGAGGTATATCTCTAGCTCCGGTAGAATGTGTAGTGAGAGATGTTCTGAGATGTTTGCGAGTGTTTCACACAGAAATAGAATCTCACCCATTATGCCATATTTGACTTGAATGGGGAGGCCTGTTCTATAGATTGTATTTCTGTGGTTTCACACCTACTGAGATGAAAGGTTACTGGAGTGGCTGGAGATCTGTTGTACAGTTGGTACTGGGACATTTGGGGATACAAGGATCACCTCAATATATACATACAGGGGGGAGAACAAGTATTTGATACACTGCCGACTTTGCAGGTTTTCCTACTTACAAAGTATGTAGAGGTCTGTAATTTTTTATCATAGGTACACTTCAACTGTGAATGACAGAATCTAAAAAAAAAATCCAGAAAATCACATTGTATGATTTTTAAGTAATTAATTTGCATTTTATTGCATGACATAAGTATTTGATCACCTACCAACCAGTAAGAATTCCGGCTCTCACAGACCTGTTAGTTTTTCTTTAAGAAGCCCTCCTGTTCTCCACTCATTACCTGTATTAACTGCACCTGTTTGAACTTGTTACCTGTATAAAAGACACCTGTCCACACACTCAATCAAACAGACTCCAACCTCTTTCCACAATGGCCAAGACCAGAGAGCTGTGTAAGGACATCAGGGATAAAATTGTAGACCTGCACAAGGCTGGGATGGGCTACAGGACAATAGGCAAGCAGCTTGGTGAGAAGGCAACAACTGTTGGCGCAATTATTAGAAAATTGAAGATGTTCAAAATGACCGTCAATCACCCTCAGTCTGGGGCTCCATGCAAGATCTCACCTCGTGGGGCATCAATGATCATGAGGAAGGTGAGGGATCAGCCCAGAACTACACGGCAGGACCTGGTCAATGACCTGAAGAGAGCTGGGACCACAGTCTCAAAGAAAACCATTAGTAACACACTACGCCGTCATGGATTAAAATCCTGCAGCGCACGCAAGGTCCCCCTGCTCAAGCCAGCGCATGTCCAGGCCCGTCTGAAGTTTGCCAATGACCATCTGGATGATCCAGAGGAGGAATTGGAGAAGGTCATGTGGTCTGATGAGACAAAAATAGAGCTTTTTGGTCTAAACTCCACTCGCTGTGTTTGGAGGAAGAAGAAGGATGAGTACAACCTCAAGAACACCATCCCAACCGTGAAGCATGGAGGTGGAAACATTCTTCTTTGGGGATGCTTTTCTGCAAAGGGGACAGGACGACTGCACCGTATTGAGGGGAGGATGGATGGGGCCATGTATCGCAAGATCTTGGCCAACAACCTCCTTCCCTCAGTAAGAGGATTGAAGATGGGTCGTGGCTGGGTCTTCCAGCATGACAACGACCCGAAACACACAGCCAGGGCAACTAAGGAGTGGCTCCGTAAGAAGCATCTCAAGGTCCTGGAGTGGCCTAGCCAGTCTCCAGACCTGAACCCAATAGAAAATCTTTGGAGGGAGCTGAAAGTCCGTATTGCCCAGCGACAGCCCCGAAACCTGAAGGATCTGGAGAAGGTCTGTATGGAGGAGTGGGCCAAAATCCCTGCTGCAGTGTGTGCAAACCTGGTCAAGATCTACAGGAAACGTATGATCTCTGTAATTGCAAACAAAGGTTTCTGTAACAAATGGATTTTTGGATTTTTGTTTTAGATTCCGTCTCTCACAGTTGAAGTGTACCTATGATAAAAATTACAGACCTCTACATGCTTTGTAAGTAGGAAAACCTGCAAAATCGGCAGTGTATCAAATACTTGTTCTCCCCACTGTATATGAGAGAGAGAGAGAGAGAGAGAGAGAGAGAGAGAGAGAGAGAGAGAGAGAGAGAGAGAGAGAGAGAGAGAGAGAGAGAGAGAGAGAGAGAGAGAGAGAGAGAATTTGTTGATCACCTCGATAGATAGATACTGAACAAAAATATAAATGCAACAATTTCATTGATTTTACTGAGTTACAGTTCATATGCGGAAATCAGTCAATTGAAATAAATTCATTAGGCCCTAATCTATGGCTCTCACATGACTGGGAATACAGATACGCATCTGTTGGTCACAGTTACCTTACAAAAAATGGGCCTCACAATGGGCCTCAGGATCTCGTCACGGTATTTATGTGCATTAAAATTGACATTGATAAAATGCAAAGTTCGTTGTCCGTAGCTTATGCCTGCCCATACCATAACCCCACCTCCACCATGGGGCACTCTGT